TTTTATAGGGGAAATTGTCATCCCTACAATTCTAATAGTTTTCTATAACTAATTAACTAATAGTAAATTAAATAACAATATTTTATGGTAATTTCCAAAAATTATTGAAATTGTTGTTGATTAGCAAAAATGTAAAGTAAATTAGTTATTTACAATAACAATAAATTAATGTAAATTATTTACTTTTTAAGCCTAAATTATTTACTATTAATCAAAGTGATGTAATTATAGTAAATTAAAGTAATTATGGTAAATTACATTAATTTTAATTAAAAGTAAATTATTTGTTGTTAATTAAAGTAAAACCAAGTATGGTTGAAGTCAACCAAGTGGTCAAGATCAGTGTGGATAGATTTAATAATTTTTCTAAATTATTTCATAACTATTTATTAAAATAATAATAGTGAATTGCTACTTAAATAAATATGAAACAATTTCTGGTATATTAATTTCCTAATTTTATTTTCCTAAAACTTTTAATAATCATTTAGTTGAATAATAATAATGGACTATTATTTAAATAGTTTTGGAGAATTTTTTTCATTGATTAATTCCCTGAATTTTAATTATTATTTATTTAAAAAATTATGGATTATTAGATAGAGAGTTTCACTGAATTATTTGATAATTGTTAACTATAATTATTGATTTTATAGAAATTAATAAATTATGCCAATTAGTAATATCTTTTGTGAATAAATAATTGTTGTAAAAATTTAATGAAACTTTATTAAATTACAATGATTAATGTAAATTACACTAAACATTAAAAATTTGAACATTTATTAATTAACCAATGGTTAGTTTTCACTAATGGTTACTCAGTTTTAAGTTATCAATTCTTTAACCTGACCAGATTAGTTTTGCTAAACATTAAAAATTTGAACATTTATTAATTAACCAACGGTTAGTTTTCACTAATGGTAACCTGACTAGATTTGTTTTGCTAGCCAAATTATCTCCAATTGAACTGAATTGCCTAGTGAACAATCCTAATTTCAGCTAAATTAATAGTTTAATCTCTAACAAATAACAATAGTTTAATCTCCAATAATTATTGAAAATTTATAGCGAAAAGACACAATTGCTGAAAATATATTTATAAAGAAAATACAATAAATAACTACTAAAAAGCTTTAATACCTCTAAGTTAATTAATCTACTTCCACTATTTCAATAATGTTTATTTTTTCATTTATTTATATTTTATATTCTTATTAAAGTTATTACAGAATTTTGTTATTTAATCTATTTTTTGTTTTTTAAATAATGTTTAAAATATGATTTAGTATTCAAATTTTTATATTGAAATTATTTAAACTTTATTTAAAAAATAATATATAAAACATAAATAATTATTAAAAATAGTATACAAACCATAAATAATACCTTGCCCACCCCGAACGGGGCAAGTTTTCTCAAATCTTAATTAGGTATGGGGAAGAGACAAGGTGAGGATGGGGAAAATATTTTTGCTCCAAATCAAGGACAAGGTTTGCATATAATTCCCAAACTCAATGGTAAATTAGTAAAATATAAATAGATTTTAATATTGACTTTTAAAAATATCTCTAAGTTTTTCCTTATATTCTTATAATCCTAGGATCCTACAATTCCATTTATAAAATACCCCCAAATTGTCATAATCCAATTTCTAAAGTACCCCAAATTTCTATAATCCTATTTGTAAAATATCCACAAATTAGACTATTTTTAAATGATTGTCTCAAGGTGGAGAAAATTTGAGGATTCCCCATCCCCGACGAGGAATGGGTGCCTCGCCTCCAACTCGCCCCTCTGCCCGGGGCAGGGTAGAGTGTCTTGACTACGAGGACGAGAGAGAGGGAGGGGTACCACATTCCATGCATCACATGAGGCCCCGTTAGTTATAATTACTTTTGTTCTTTAGATATTTTTTTAAGTTATAACATAATTTTGTTATTTAATCTATTTTTTTGTTTTTGAAATAATATATAAGATATGATTTAGTTATTAATATTTTGATATTTAAAGTGTTTAAAAATTAGTTATTTATAATATTAAATAATTATTTAAAAATTTTAAAAATATTATTTATTTATTAAATTTAATAATCCATGAAATTATAATGTATAATATTATTACATAATTTTTTTATTAATTCTGTAAAATATAAAATTATTATTAATTCAAAATTTATTAAATCTATTATAATTATTATTCTACTCTTAAGAAATTTTTTTAAAATTTATTACATAATTTCATTATTTTAACTATTTAGAGTTTAGTTATGTTAAATATTTCATTATTTAGATATTTAATAATATGTAAAAGATTTAATCTTTTTTATTTAAATTTTATTTCTTTAAAGATATTATGTAGTTTTAAATATTTTATTACATAACTATTTAGCTATTTTTAATATTTTGTTATTTAAATAATTTTTATTTATGTTTTTAAAATATTATTTAGTTATTAAATTGAATAATCCATGAAATTATAATTTATATTATTATTACATAATTTCATTATGAACTTCATAATATTATTAAACCTATTATAATCATTTTTTTGTGTTTTTAATAAATATTTTAAAGTTATTACATAATTCCATTTAATATTTAAATAATTGTTAAATGTTTTAATTAAAACTTTATTTTGATAAATATACATGAAAAGTGAGGGAGAGGGTAAATAGGAATTATAGATAATTTAGGAGATAAATAGGAATTAGGTAAAGATAGAGATACTTAAGAGAAAGTGGGGGATAGTTAGTTTTCTAATAAAAAGGAGAAGAGAAAAAAAAATAAGCCATATTAGGTGACAACTCCTAGTACTTCTAGAGGGAATCTTGAACCCCCTCTAGAATTGCTTGGTTTAATATATATATATATATATATATATAGATTCCAAAATTTAGAACTTAATTCTCACTTTTAATGGTAGTATATATAGATCTTTGTAAGGTGCCATGTTGCTGGTTGGCTGGTTGTGGTATTGGAAGAACAGGTTGGAGTCTTTATGTTAGAGTGGAAATTCACATTATACATGTAGATAGAGGTAAATGAAGTTGTGGATTCTCTTTCAAAGTCTTGAAGAGCACCCAAAGATTGTTATAGCGAGAGTTGGGGAAGATAGTACACATATTCTTTATCTTTGGTGTCGTTTTGCAAGTTTCTTTTTTTTTTTAAATATCTTCCAGCAGCCCAGATGGCCAAAAGATATGTTGAGCTTTTTGGGTATTGTCTTTAAACAAAAAGATCGTTTGGTAAGCGGCTCGGTCTATCGAGCTTTTAAAAATACATTTAGAGGCCAGAAGACCGTGCGGGTCTTTCCACGATAATTTGAAGCTTCTCTAAATTCAGCATTTCAGTCTTTTCCGGTCTTTCCACACACACGTCTTCTCATCTTTTTGAGTATTTCGAGCTTGCCAAAGCCTAGAAGACCGCACGGTCTTAAGGCACTTCAAACTTTTGATTTGTATATGAGTTTAACTGGAGCCTTGATTTATGGATTTTTAAAGAAGTAAGGATTTTAAGTCCTCCCTCGTAGGCTTTCTATTTATACGTGTTAATAAACGATGGCCACCCTTCCACCTGAAAGGAATTTTGGGGCGCGGCTCAAGAAAAAAAAAAAGGAAAAGTTTGGAAGATAAATCACAACCGGGACCATCTTTCTCATATTTTGGTTTTTTATTTCTTTTTAATTCCATAGAATTGTTGAATAATAGTTTGGGCTTTCTATTGTTTAATTACTTTTGAAGTTGATTTTATATTGTAAAAAGTAGTGGCTAATATATGTTTCATATTTCATTTCTTGAAGTTGAAATCTAGGGAAGAACGGTTTATTAAATTGACTATTGCCTGATCAGTGATCACCCCATGTGCATCATATATACCTGCTTCCCTCTACCATGTCAATAAAACAACATACTGGTGCATACTGTCAATTACTCCAATTTCTTAATTATCAAGTAAAATCAACACAAGATAAGTTCATCTTTAGAAGAAAATTCACAATTTCTTAATTAAACAAAAATTTTCAAATCAAACCAACAAATTGAAAACGAAAATGATGAAAACTATATAATTATTTTGAAATCTGGGGTAAAAAAATAAAAAAGAGAATCTAATAGTAAGATGATAATCCATTTGGTCCTTCCCTAAACAATGACACAATCACATTTTATGGATAATTACTCCAAGCTCACCTTGCAAAGAGTATGTAATTTTGTATGACTACAAAATTTCTTCTCATCAAGTAGAATTAACAAAAGTTAAGATAATTACTAACAGAAAAATTCGAAATTTCTTAAACAAAATCTTGCAAATTAAACCAACAAATTATAAAACAAAACGACCAAAACAATATCAGTAATTTGAAATCCTGGATTCATGAAAAATAAATAAATAAATAAGAAGCTAATGGTAAGATGATAGATAATCCATTTGGTTCTACCCTAAACAATGACACATAATCATAATGGTTAATTAATAATCCTTTCATGTTCTTGAAAAAAAAAAAGAAAAAAGAAAGAAGAAAGAAAATCCTCTCATATTGCCTTTGATAATTACATTACTAATAGCAAGAAGCAAGGCTAGCAGTTAAAACATCTGAGGAGGTATTTCAAGAACATGGCCAAACCAGGGTCCATGTGCATCCAGTCCAGTCCTTAAATTAAAGCAAAGGGAAGGGGGACCATCCGACCATGTAGAAGAATTGATAAAACAGAAGAAAAGTAGGCTCCTTTGAGTTCAGTTCAATGTTTGGGCCTTTGGGGTTGAGAGTGAGGGAAGGTATTTTTGGTAAAGCAAGCATATGGTGTCCCATACTATTTACAAAGAAGGAATTAATTATTAATTAAATTAAAAATGAAAGTAGAAAAATAAAACATCAGATCTCTATTAGATTTCGATTTTTCTAAAACTACCAAAAAAAGACTTCGTTTATTTTAATAAGTTGGATATATATATATATATATATATATATATTATATTGCATAAATTTATATAAGCTTATAAATGGAGTAAATTCGTCAATTTTTTCTCCTTTGGTCTCTCTCTCTCTCTCTCTCAAGTCACAAAAGGGAAAGAACCCTAACGAGCTATTTACAGCCTGCAAGTAAGTCTTCTCTCTCCTCTCTTTCTCTCTCTAGAATCTAGTAAATCTGTGAAATTTGTAAACTTCATTTGCATTTCGATTTGTAAAATGAAATGGAAGTATGATGTTGAAGCTGTAAACATCTCTTTTTTCTCATTTATCCTAGAGATCCGAGTTCAAAGCCCTTTAAACTGAGATTTATGATAAGAATAGGAATGCCTTTGAGAAGGGTTTCTTCTGGGGGCATTTCTGATGATATTCTCGCCATTTTTCTGATGCGGTTTTAGGTTTTGCTGTAGTTGTTTGATTGATTTGATCTTTGTTTGAGATGCAATCAATTGTTTTAGTTCTACTTTGGGTTCTCTTCCCGGTGATTTCTGATTCGTTTACTTCTGGGTTGTTGTTATTTTGATGGGGTTACCATCATTCTTAGTTCTAGTTTCATGGCGGTGAGTTTTGCAGGCAATTTTTGCAGGTCTGCAATGTCGTAGATGGGTTGAACACGAACAAAGAAAAGATTATGATTAATTAGACGTCTTCTCCATTTAAGTTATTATGGACGACGACGGGTTGAATATCCGGAATTGGGGTTATTATGAACCCAGAGGGCACCTCGGTCTACAGCTCATGTCGACCGTAGCAGAGCGAGATACTAAGACTCTTATTTCTGGTCGCGATTCTACGGTCATGGTTGGTGCTAATGGAGCTTTTCACCCTAGGGATTGCGGGGTATCCGAAGCACCTGTTCATATGGAATATGTGAAGGATAGTTGGATGAACAGAGAAAGATTTCTGCATATGTTGCCCGGAAACCCAAATTTTGCTGTTTTATCAGAAGCATCTACAGCTCATCACTTGCAGATGATACAACCGCCTGATTCGTCGAAGGATGAAAGGGTGGCTCGAATAGAAGAGGCAGGAGGAAAAAAGGATGGGCCTTTGAAGAAAAGACAAAGTGGTCGTGCCCAAAAGTCTCCAAAAGCAAAGAAGCCGAAGAGGGTGCCAGCACCAAAGGATGAGAGCAATTCTTCTGTATCACGAGCAAAAGCTGGGAAGAAGAACATGGGGGTGGTCATAAATGGGGTTAATATGGATATTTCTGGTATTCCAATACCGGTTTGCTCTTGCACTGGAACTCCTCAACAATGTTATCGATGGGGCTGTGGTGGGTGGCAATCAGCATGCTGTACCACAAGTATATCTATGTATCCTTTGCCAATGAGTACAAAACGGCGTGGCGCGAGAATTGCTGGGAGGAAAATGAGTCAAGGTGCATTTAAGAAAGTCTTGGAGAAACTTGCTGCTGAAGGTTATAACCTTTCAAATCCGATTGATTTGAGGACTTACTGGGCAAAACATGGTACCAACAAGTTTGTGACCATCAGGTAGATGTACAATGTGAATTCCATAATTGGCCTCCCATTGCATTTGGTCTGTTTCTCCTGTATATATGCTTGTGGCCTGTTGCAGAGGCTTCCCGGATAGTTTCTAGTCAATGAATTTTCCCAGTCTTGTTATATGTTTTTGAAAATCAGACATTGAAATTCCCTGGATATGTTGTTTCCTTTTGTTTTCTTCTTGTAGTTTTAGGGACTATCAATCCTACCTGGCTTCCAGGATTTAGGAATTAATGGATGAGATTTGGTTTCTTGGATCCATATAGGATAGTTCAGTTCCCTTCTTTTCCCTTATGTTATCAAGAAATACAGCTTTTGGACAGTCTGTTGTCTATTTGTTGTTCATATTGACACGCCAATATATTTAAACTTCTTCAACCTCATTTCAGCAATATCATTTTATTGACTTAAGTTCTTGGGGAAAACTTGGGTGCTTACATATATGCATCTTTTTTGGATTCATGTTTTGGGTGGTATTTTGAAATGTAACAAGGGCTTGGTTGGTGTTCTGCACTCATCTATGGTACATCACTTGTGCATTCTTTTAACTTCTTGAGTTTACTAAAGCCCTTATGAAATTGGTATATTAGGTTAATATTTCCTTCATTTATGCCTATCTTATATTATTCTTCTAATTCCTAAGAAAACAAGAAATTATATATCTGAAAGAAGAAAACCTTGCTTAATCAAATTCCAGAACACTTTCTTCATTTAATTAAAACTATCAAGTATCAACATTACTGGACAGACCTTGATTCCTGAAAGCTTCACAATTACTTACCTTTCTCAAATGAATGTTCTAGTTTGTTTCCCAACAAAAGTTTTGCTAATTTTTTCATTTAAATTATTCATAAAAAAAATCTCTCATTGAAATTTGAACTTATAGTGAATAATAGCAATTACCATTTTTGATCATTTGTGATGGTTACTACTCACATGGGGCTTTCTGCTAATGCTCGACTCAGGAACAGACTACCTTGTTTCTCTTGTGCTGGACTTTGATTGTTGTCTTGCTTTAACCATATTTAGTGTGTTTGCTCCAAGATCTTTTCAGTCTATGTGACAAGAGGTTCTTATTGTACGCCCATGTAAATGGTCTTTGACAACAAAAAAATGAAATACAAATTTATGAGAAAATGTTTTCTTTCTTTTTCGTTACATGCTCCAAACATTCTTGAAGGTGTAGATTCCTTCAAGCTATTAGATCTGATTTGATATTGCCTTTGCACACCAGATCTACAGTTCAACATTGTAAGTTCTGTACTACATTACTTAAGGTCGTGGTAGTTTGTTATTGAATTAATGACCGTTACAAGTTATTCTTTGGAAATAGGCTTTTGAGAGAGGAATGGGGACTTATTTGATGATGAGAGGAGTGTCAGTAATTGCTATGTTTTATTGTTTCATCACTTTGGGATATTTGGATTTGGAACCCTGCTCTCACACGAGCAATCCATTATTTTAAACTTTGGTGTTTGCTTCTTGGGGAATTCTTGGTAAGAATGAACTGATTCTTTTGAAGCAAAGCTCCTATTTCATGAATAGGAATATAATGGTGCCTCCATCAATGCACTTGTAAGAGGTTAGAAGTAATGGTTTTCTGGTTGTCAATCTCAATAAGGAGGCGGTAAGTTCATGTAAGATTGAATGCATGTTTCTGATGAGATGGTGGCTTTCGAACGCGGAACAGTTGAGGTTTCGAAGTCTTGTAAGCTTATTTCTTGTGATGAGTCTTGTGGTCCTTTGATGGATGCTCATTATATTGGGGGACGTAGTTGCAGAGGTTATTGTCGATGATGAGGCAAAGGGGAGTGATGTTGATACTGTTAACAATTGTAACAGTAGAGATTAGAGAAGATGAGGAGGTTTGTGTAGAAAAAAGATGAAAGGTTTTTGGCAGAGGTAACAGTCGCTAAAGTTGGAAAGGGGGTTCAAATAGATTTTGAACAGAGGGTGTCAGCTTGTCTGAGAAAATAGAGGGAGAAGTTAACATAGTAGAGGTTGAGTAAGGGAGGAGAGATTTGGATATGTCGTAGGTTTATTATTGCAGGAGGAAGTACAGAAGAAAACCTTTGGAGGATAAGGATAACCCTGATTAGGATATAGAAGTTGGGTGGATCAGTCTTATGATGTGGAAGATGAAGTCTATGCATTGGAAAATCATTTGATTTGGAGAAGGTGGTGGAAGTTGAGGTTGAGGTCAGCAAAACATTGGGTGTGGATCCAATTGCTGATGGGGAGTGTTTGGCTGTAGAATACAAGGAGAATGGAAGCTATTGGAATTTGAATAGCACTGATGTGGAAAATTAGAACTGATAATTTGGCGTACTTGGAATGCAAGACGAACCCTATTGAAGAGCTGTTGCTGCTCAGGTCTCAAAAGTTTTTGCCAAGCTGAAAAGGGGGTTGTTCAGGTTGGACCTAATAAAAAGGTAAAGAAATCTAGGAAGATTAATTGTAGAAGCAGAGGTGATCACATTCTATCCAAAGATGAAGCTGAGTTAGAGATTTGAGTGTTTTGTGGTCTTGTAGGTGGAGTCAAGTCAAGGTGGCATTCTAAGAGATTGTTTTGTTGGTCGTTTGGGGGTTTTGTTTTGAGGATTCAGGGGTAAGTGGGTGGCTTTTGTGTATATGAGTTTTGGTTGTTTGTTTTTAAGTTTTTGGATTTGGTGGTGTTTGTTTTCTTTTCTGGTTGTTGTTCTCTTGTTTCTTGTGGCAGTTGTAGTTGTAGTGGTTTGGATTTGGGGTTGTTCGGGGGTGGTATTGCTCCTCTTTTCCCTTGGGTGATTCCTATCACTTCTCTTTAATAAATTTTATTTTCCTATAAAAAAACAACAGCAGAAATAATGCTGGTTTTATAAGGTTTGAAGTTGTCAAGGTCTTCAATCTTCAGAAATTTGGCTGCGGATGGGGACTCCAAAATGGTGATCAGTTGGCTTACAAATGATGGCCTTATTCCATGACAATACAGGAACACTATGAGAGAGTTAAGATTGCTGGTAAGGTACATGGTTATCAGCTATAATAGGATTCACAGATCAGCCCCCAGTCAGACCCCACATTGGTGGGAGCCTCGTGCATTGGGCTGCCCAGCCAATGAATTGGCAGATGCATTGGAAAAACAAGGGGTCGGTAGAGGAAATCTGTTTTGTGGACAACTGAGATATACAATGTAACTTAAATTTTGTAATATCAAAGGGTAAACAGTAAATAGGGTAGGTGTGCTAAAGTTGAGGATGCTTGGCATCTGTGTAAATACCATTCATGGAGGCACCATGTGCCTCTTACAATAGGGATGCAAATGGATCGGATCGGATTCGAATCAGGGTATATTTGAATCCGATCCGACACTGTTCATGTCAGATCCGATCCGAAGATCCGATCGGAATGGATAGGACTCAATCTGAATTCGAATCCTATCGGATCTTTGGACCTGATTTGATCCATAAAAAATTAATAAATTATTAAAAGAAAAAAATAAAACATACCAATTTAAATAAGGAAAAAACAAAAATACAAGTATTTTTTTAGTTATTTTAGTCACATATATACATTTTTTATAAAAAAATAAATAATATAACAAATTTATAAAAATACAATATAAATAATATTTTTATAAATAAATAACATATATATGTATTATATATAAATATTTATATTTATAAATATATAACACGATCCGAATCCGATCCGATTTCTGATCGAATCATAGGATCCGATCTGATCAGAAGATCTGACTAGGGGTGATCCAAATTCGACCAAATAGGATCAGATTGGGTCATGATCCGATCCATTTGCACCCCTATCTTACAAGTGCATAGGGTAACTTGTAATCCAAATTCCTATTACATAGGGTAGGTGACCTCTGTTTGCTACGTGTATTGTTTTGAGTTGCGGTAAGGTTGTTCCTATGTGCCTCTTGTATATCTTGTTGAGGCTTGTATGATAATACCTCTTTCAAACATTAATGAAATGTTTTGTTTTTTGAGAGGTCATTAATGAAATGTTTTTGCTACTGATAAAAAATAGGAGTTTGACTACTATTCTTTGTGGGATTTGGGAGGATACATGATTGAGTTAAGATTGACAGGGGTCCTGGAAGTAAGATTATCATGATGGAGAGGTGAATTCTTTAATGTCTGGGATGAGTTAGATTAACAGGGGCCGCTTGGAAGTTTGATTATCATGATGGATGGGTTGCAGATTTTGTTGCAGATTCCTTTTTTTTTTCCCTTTACTAGGTTTTAGTTGTATTTATTAGGGAGCTTTTTTCAGCTTACCTCTATGTAATTATCTTCCAATTTTTTAATAAGTACTGAAGTTTAGTGGTTCATTGTTTTTCATTCTCATTCCTATACTTTTTTGTTGGGGGCACCGGGGGCAAGGAATCAGAGGACTTCTCTTAAACATGTAGCATCCTTGAGGACACTAGAGTTTCTAACTTCCAAACTTCTGTGACATTGCTTAGTGAAAACTTCTCTTAAACATGTAGCTAAGAATTTTTAGTCAACTTTCAAAAGCTTAGTGAAAACTAAGGTTAGAGATATTTTAGATACTGCCTCTTTAACTTGCCAGAGTTACAGAAAGTCCCCAATGGTTATCTTTAAGGATAAAGAAGAACCATGGTGGTCTTATTCAATAATAGGTTGTGTTCTATTCTTTCACCAAACACTCCATGCGTTTCCTCCACTGGAGATAGGCTTTGGCAACTATCTTTGCAGATGCCCTTCTAAGTTTTTTCTCAAGTAAGCCTTCAAGCTGCAGTTTGATTGTTCCCACTAGTGGCGTTAATAACTTGAATTGAACTGAACATCACTGAAACCATGTCAGTTGCACCTCCTGTACATTGGTCTCGCATTTGTATTTTTGTGTATTAATATCACTTATTGAACTGTTCTATTACCATGGATCTACCTTTTTGAGATTTTTTCCTTTCTGAATCTTGACTGAAATATTCAGCACCATTTTGCATGTTTTGTGAAGTTATGTATGGCTGGGGKATTATTTTCCCTTTGAAAGAGTGCAGATTTAGGTTATTGTAAAGAATTTTTCATTTGGTGGAGTGGCATGTTTTAGTGTCAATGTTTAGTTTTCTAACGTATTCTTTTCTAGAAAATAGAACAGTATTTAATTCCTAATCTTGAATTTGATGAAAACTTGTAACCAACAAACCAGTATCATAAAAGTGGTAACCATTCAGGTGGTATTTATCAAAATTAATGGTGGTTTTTTATTGGTTAAAATTCTTCTGATATCATGTCTTTCCGGCAGCATAGATTTTCCCCTCATCTTTTTTTCTAGAGTTTTTCTAATGTTCCAACTAGATAGATAATATTTTCTTACAGAAACTCAAATTTCAAACCTAATTAAAATCTAAGAATCTAGATATGTTGGGGCGACTTTTTTTTGGTAGTGGAACAGATAGGGTTTGGTTCTTGTGATGTGCTCGTAGAATTCTGATTTGGTAGCACAAGTCTGGAGATGCTGCTTTATTTTTTCTTTGCTGAATTTAGATAGATGGATTTTCTATTCTTTGTTGTGGGTATGGCTTTGTCATCAGGGGTGATACCTTTATTTTTGTAATTCCTCTCTTACAAGTTGCTTAAGGCTGAGAAAAATAATTGAGTAGGGGAAGATGTGGAGGGGTGATTTGAGACAGACCCATTGGCCGTTGGGGTGTGGTGTGTTTTGAAACCATATGTAGATTGTGATATCATCTGTTTCTCTGACCACGCTTGTAGTTATTTGTTTATTTCCACGTCAAGATAAAATACATGATCAAAGTATTTTGTTTGAAACTATCCACGGCACACCCTGATAAATGATCAAATCAATGGATAAATTATTCACTGAATTTGATTTGTTTAGTTTTGAACTTAAAATAGTTGATGTGGCATGACTCCTATTAAATTGTCAAATAAAAATTTGTAAGAAAAAGTGTTTCAATCAAAATAAACTCTTAATGCACAGAGAATGTGCATCGAAAGTATCTTGGATTTTAGTGAACATATGAAACCAAAATTAAACATAATAGATTAAAATGCATGCGATCAACACCCCAGTTCACTTAAATGGGGAAATTTTGCTAGACTAAGCGTATCATCCAAAGTCCAAGCACTTGGTGAAACTCCTAGGTGTACTTGACAGACTTATCTGACCTGTGTAATTACATCTTTAGCCTGTTTTGGTGCAACATCTTTGTCGGATCAAATACAACACATGAAAATGGTTCATGAAGTCGGTTTTAATAAGAATGCATTTATTTGTTCTAACCTCCCATCAGTGGAAATGGTTCTTATCATCTCTCTCTCTCTCTCTCCTTCTCTTCTGTGCTTTCGTCAAAAGCAAGAAGCGGAAAGCTGGAAATAGAATATGGGAGCACCCAACTCCATTTCCAAATTCCAATCCCATGAATTCCACTGATACAAAAACATTGCCTCAAACTCAAAAAATCCAATTGATTGATACAAACACATAGCCTCATTCGGTACAATTGTGTATTGTCACAAATCAATCAACACCAGCAAACCAACTCTGGATAAACTGTAGTTTTTCCTACTTTATGGCCAGACAAGGAAGGCCCTGATGCGGTACTTGGAACTTTCTAAGCAGGTCTTTATTTATTTAGCACGTGATCAAGGACAAAGGCTGTCATTTTGTCTGGACCGGACGTCGGACGGACTAAACCAAAAGTCCAAAACCTGGGAGTCTGGGACATTTCTTTTATAGTTTCTCAAGGCCACAGCCAAGTCTATCAATCAAAATGATCAGGACCATCCATGTAGCAGCCGTACAATTGATTGTGGGGCAACGATGCAATATGCGTTGAAAACAAATGAAAGCTCATTTCATTCAGCTGACTGCAACACATTGCTTGTACTGTTTGGTTGCTGCTGAAGCTGATTACCCAAAACTTACACCAGGTCGTATCAAGGTGGAAGTGAATCAGTGATTTACTGATTCTGTTCTTTGTCTTTGGGTCTGGGGACAAAGGACAGTAGGAGACACATAGCTGGGTCTGGGCCTCTGGACTGCCTGCCACAAAAGTTAGAAGGCTTGGTCCCATCCATTGGAATGGGTTTCAACTCCCAGGTGACCTTGATTAGTTTTAGCCATAAGATTTGGGTACTATAGATTTAACTCTTCTATAAGAAAGCCCATATTTGTCCATTTACTGACCAATCAATCCCCAGAGAATTTTGATGAAAACCAACCTGATTGATTACCACTTTTATGCCTGTTGATTGGTTGTAAGTTTTTCCGATGCCATGTCTTTCCAGCATCTTAGTCAAACCCTTTTAAAAATTAAAACTGTGTATATAACTTGAATACCGCATGAAAGATCTTTTTAATTGTTCATATACCAGTTGAGAGCAGTACTGTTATCAAACTCGTAAGCTTTTTGGGTCATGGTTTTTTTAGGTTTGTTTGATGTTGCGTATCATGAAACCTCAACTTATTAACTCTTCACCTCTTCAATGAAAAACAAAGCATTCAAATCAATTTTACTAATAAGTATAATACACAGTACCTTAATATATATAAACATCATCGTCATCCAAGCCTTACCCCCATTATATGGGGTCAGTTACATGAATCCTTTTTTGTCATTTCATTTTATTTAATGCTATATCCATTGTTAACTTATTGATGCTGAAATCATTTTTCATTATTTTTACCCATGTCCTTCTTGGTCTACCCCATTGATTTTAGCCCTTTCAACATATATATTTAAATTGAATTAAATCCAATTGAATAGGGATCCAATCCACATTCCACCCAATTATAAACAAATCACATTTGGATCACCTAGAACTAGATGGAATTTGAATTGGTAAAAAGATACTGATGATGTTCAAAATTCACCAATGAATCGGATTGCCTGAGGCACACCTCGGATATGGACAACCCTTGAAAGCACAGTGAGAATGTGAAGAGGCCTCAAGGTGACATCCCAAAGTGAGGACTCTGACAATAAAGTTAGATGAATCTTAAGAGAGAAAAGGGAGTGGATACAAGGTTTGCGAGGTGAGTGAGTATCATTGGGGTTCAAATATGAATAGTTCAAAAGAATCCCACATTGGAAAGGAATGAGAGGTATAAGGGATTTATATACAGAGTACCCATAACCCAATAGCTCAAGCTTTTGGGTTGTATGTGGTGCCCCAGTATAAGTCATGATCCTAAGCGTGTACATTTATGAACCCCTGAATTTGAAGACTTCCCTCAATTCATAACAAATGTGGTGGGTAAGCAATTAAATGCGTACCTTTATATAAGTAAGGTGACTTGCCTCTCAAGACTGGCTCAATTAACTGATGACTCTACCATAATGAATTTGAAGAGAGAAAAGGGAGTGAGTATGAGGTGTGCCATCCATTGGACTCATTAGTCAATTTTTGACATCATCAATATCATTTAAGAGAGAGAGAGAGAGAAATGCCTATAAGAACCATGTAACACATAGCACATTCAAAACATGTTATGTGGAATTATAATATAAAACGGGATATGATATATGATTTATAATAGACTGTGACATTCAATCCTCCCATAGCTGAATCTCTCTCTCTCTATCATACAAAATACGGAGAACCCACAAGGCATTTCCTAAGAAAAGGAGAAAAAAAATTCCTTTTCTTGGAAGTAAGAGAACCCAATTTCTCTGTTTCTTCAGACTTGATGAAGCTTTCTGGTGCCAATTCTTGTAAGGCTAATACAGTATGAGGTCTTTGGAATATGTAATAGAGACATCGGTATAACCCTCTAAAAGAGGAAAATTGAAAGAAGCTGCAAAAGGATCTACGAGATCTGTATTTCCAACATTGTGATCTACGCGATATGTATTTCCAACATCGCAGAAGATGTCGAGTTCATCTCCTCTGGGCTTGAATTCATCATCAAAAACCACCCAATCGCTGGTTATAATCGTCTGCAAGAAATTCCGAGGATCCTTCTGTTGTTCAACCATTTGATAATCTCTGACCACTATCGCCTTATCCCCATGGAAAGCGCCTGCAGCAGCAGCAGCAGCAGCAGAAGTTGCAGTGATAGCCTTCTTATCCAGGGAAACTCCATTGATCATTCTCTCAAGATCTCGAATATCTTCTTCTGGGATGTGCTGGACTCTGGGGATTTCTGATGTATTCAAAACACCAAAATCCCTGCAAATTTCAAAATAAGAAGACAGTTCTCCAGCCTGAGAAGCTGCTTTCTTCAAAACCTGTAGTGCGACTGCAGCCTCTACCTTCCCTGCCGAAAATATCCCAGCCAGAACACCAGCAATTCCATTACAGATACTGCTATAAGCGTCGAAGATCTCCAAGATGATGCAATCCATGGCTTCAAGAATCAGCATAACACGCATCCTATCTGTGTGGGGCCTAATCTGCATGAGCAAATCAAGCAACGTCTGCAACTGCTGTAACTCCAAGAGCACTTGCTTCAGTTTTGGGCTTTTCTCCATGCTTTCTCCTCCACTCAAAACGGGTGGATGACCATCACCATTAAGGGAGGCAGACCGCTGGTCAAGAAATGCAAAGTAGGCACGGATGAAAGCATTGAACCCCCACGTCTTGGCAGAACTAGAGTGACCATCTTTGAAATCGGAGAGGTCGAACGGCAATCTCCCGAACTTCACGGTGGGAATTCTGCAGCAGAAAACGCCGTGAATGAGCATTAGGCCCTTGAGAGCGACGACCCAGCTTCGAGTTTTCTCCATTCTCTTGGTGAGAGAGCAGAGAAAAGGCTTGACGAATGCGGGAGAGGTTCGTATCCAAGCGAAAACTCTCTGCGCATTCTTGTAATCGACGGAGTGCTCATCATGGCTGGTAGCTTTGATGATGGCTTCTTCTAGTTCTGCATGTCGGGAGTTTGTTTTTCTTGCCAACTTTGCAAGACAGATGCTGTTGTTGTCCTTCAGCGCAGCGGAGGCCTTCTTCCAGAGCTTCATCTCTGTTGGGCCCCTCTCCCTTTCTCTTCTTGGTATTAAGCATAGCCTTTGTGATCCATATTGCTGCTTCTCTTCTTCCTGTTCTTCGACATTTCTCAGTGGAAGAAAGAGCGCGTCGCGTTGAAATCTTCCCACAAAGACCAAACCAATTAAGAGAAAGTAGAAGAGTTTGATAGAAGAAAAAAAAAAAAATATATATATATATATATATATATATAAATATTTAGGTATTCTTTCTCGGTCTCGTTGTGGGTTCTATGAGTTTTCTGACTTTGTTTCGAGGAAAATAAGAGAGCGACTCTGAAGAAAAAGATGGATGGCATCGAGAGGTTTGAAAGGGTCAAAGCGGTTTTCTGTTAGGAATTTGGGCCGTGTTGGACGAGGCTTCACTAATTAATTTCAAGTGGAGATCAAAATCATCAAATTAATGGGTATTCAATTTCTAGTGTTGGTAGGTATTATATTGCTGCTGCTACATTCATGGTAAGTTATAGGTTACCGTACGTGTTTAGACAATTGAGACATTGCGCATGAGGTGGGGTGGTCCACTTCAAATCAGCCCCTCACAACTTACCACAGTCCGCAGCATCCGTCGTGTATTGGGATCATCTCCTAATGATGATATCATCATTATTTGGTATTATCATTTCAGAGATGTTTTAAATACATGGCGGGATGTGCTATGGGACTTTGTGGAGATAATCTTGTGTGGGGCTGATTTGATCTCCGGGTGGTCAAAGAGAAGAGATTTATTTATATATTTCAAGCATTTGGGGTGTACAATGACCCCCAGATGCTCAATACGTGTACCATTTTGAAGACCCTGTGCTCGCCGTGTATTCCTAATTTAATCCGACTTAGTCCCCTGTACTACAATGGATCCAAAGGGCCGAACCTCTTTCCCAGTTTAACTAGTCTCATTTATAACAGAGGATAATCTCTTTCGCAAAGGTCATAGATTTTCTCCCAGTTTGACAGTTACAGGTAGGGCCATTCGACACATTTACCTCTCTCACAATCTGACTAATTTCACGTGTAACAGAGGATAATCTCTCTACGACAGACACAGACTCTCTCCCGATCTCGACTCTCCCCCCTCTCTCTTGCACAATCTCTTAGTCTCGGCTCTCCCGCTTTTCTCTTGCACAGCCTCTCCCTGTCTTGACTCTCTCCCCTCTCTCTTGCAAACCTCTCTCGCACACACTCTCTCTCTCTCCCTAGTTTCTCCCTTTTCTTACAAGTTACGATAGACAAAACGCCCCTTCCTTCCTCCCCCCGCGAGCCCCAATTTGGTGCTATGTCTGACAAATACAGAGACGTGAGTCCCAATTTTGCCTCTCTCAGTCTTTTCCAGTCTCGGCTCTCCCCCCTCTCTTGCAAACCTCTTAGGCTCTTACTCTTCTCTCTCGCACTCTCCAATGGCAAGCAAAAAACCCTCCGGTAAGCATCTTCTCCTTCTCCGATGGACCAAGAACCTTGTGTTTACTCTCAAATGTTATCTTCTTCCTCTCTACAGGTCACCGATGGCATCCTCATTGCTTCACTGACCTCTGACGGCTTGCATTCAACCGGCGACAAAAACATAACCTAGAACCCCTTCCTTTTTTCCGAGCCCTAGCCGTAACTAGTGAGAAACCCCTCTGCAACTGACGTTCAACGGCATGAAGTCAGCTAGCGGCTTCTTCTATTTGCAACCTAGCTGCTGCTGCTTCTTCTTCTTCTTCTTATTATTATTATTTATTTATTTTTTGCTTTTCAATGGTTTCAAAGCAGGTCGAAGGCAACACATGGACCTTCTAGAAACAGAACAGGAAATTAATATATATCAAGAACTAGACAGTTATCCCAACCCCTCCATGACTCCACCCCACCACCACCAAAAAAAGAAGGAAACGGAAAAATAAAGGATTTAAATTATTCTCTCTTTCTTTTTCATTGTAGGTTCTGCCATCCTCACAAAATTGGATAACCATACATAGGAATAAAGTTTATTGTAAGTAGGCTTTCAATTTCATCATCGATTCTTTTTGATCATTTTTTTTTTCCGTAAAAATTCTACTATAGCCTCATCTGCATAAACTTTATTCCTATGTAAGTAGGGTTTTAGTTTCTTCGGTGGTTCCCTTTCCATCCCCAAGTTGGAATTTACTGTTGTAGTATTTTAGTAAGTTTACTTGTGTCTGGTTTTAAGATCCAAGTACAAATTGGGATATATCTGGTGGCAATCATGATTGGTAATTGTTCTCTGTTTCTCTTGAATCGATCAGGTTCTATTGTCTGAATTTGTCTCCATTATTAGGATCTTTTGTCCTTTGGTTTAGTACTTCTTTTTTCTTTTAGGTTTTGTAAAATCCCTTTAGTTTTGGTTAGATTTTAGATATATGTCAAATAGTGATAAGGCACATATCTTAAGGTTTTATTTGATTCAGTCTTTCATCTCTTCTCTTCTCATCCATTTTTTTTTTTTTTTATCTTATCGCTATGCCATAAATAATGTAAATCTACTAACAGTAAAAAGGGAATCTAAATTTGTTTTAGGATAAAGATATTTCAATTTCTAACAAGAAAACAAATGGAAATTGTTACCACAAACTCAGTTAGCCTCTGTTGCAAATATTACTGGTAGAGAGTAAGTCTTCCACATAAGGAGTAGATAATTCAGTATCAAAACATTTTTTGTTTTATAGGTTCCTTGTGTCATTGTATGTAAATTTCATTTGAATTTTTAACCGCTAAAGACTAATTTTTATGAGTGATATCTTCTCCAACTTGGAGTTCTTTTGGAATTCACTCCAAGTGATTTGACTTAAGTTTGTGTCCAGTTGACACCAGGGGGTAATTGTAACAGGGAGACAAGAATTTCAAATACCACGGATTCAGCTCCATACGAAGGATCCTAAGGTAGTTTGGCTGGATTGGAGTTTCAAATATAGCTGACTAATTAATCTTGATTTGCAGGTTTGTAAGGAGTGGAAACTTGATCCTGATTGAGAGCCAAAACCACAAAGTTATCTGAGGAAGCTCCCTAGCAAATGGTGCAACTGTTTTGCCACAGGGCCCACTTTCTATTGTTAGAATTGTTAACCATTTTATTATTCAAAAAACAAATATTGTGCCTCCTGTCTCGAAATAGCAAATTGATTAGCACTTATTGTGCGGTTGCCAATGTACTGACATGCGGGCTGCAGGTAACACGGCCCATTTGGTCGTACCGTATCAGCTCAGCCCGGTCCATGGATCTAAAACCCTAGCATGACACGGACCATTGTGTCGAGCCTAACATGACCCGCGTGCCATCATGTATCTGTCTTATTTCCAATTAGGCTCATGCCTTGTCTGTATTGAATTGTTTTGTTTTATTTTTTTCAATAAATTTGTATTGTTTGGTAATGATGATTTTGGTTGTTGTATCAAAATACCGATTTGCATTGTCATATTTCCAATTTACATTAATCATGATTTTAAGACCCTGTATCAACAATGAGAGAGCTCATCTCTTGTTGGATCTCAATTCTTAACCAAATGTCCTCACTACGATACGTCTCTCATGATAGAAGACACCATGATCCCTCTCAAGGTTTCCAATTTCTGGACTGAACGAATAGCATCAATGGGGACTTGGTCCATCAATGATTGATTTTGTTTCCTTGTAACATCTTGTAACCATTACTGTAAAACTTTTGTGGATTACCGTTATTACCGAGCTTTAGCTAGGTTGGATCATATCTGAAGGAGTCCCACAAGATGTATGGGAAACTCCTAAAATAATCTTGCTTTCCTATAATAAAAAGGTAAGAGGAAAATTAGATGTTTCTTTTGCTTTTGACATAGATCCTCTTGTAGCAATTGCTCTATGTATGTCAACACAGGAATGAGTTCCCAATCCACTCACAAATATCCATCATTTAGATATCTAAGTTGTGTGGGCACATGCAAGCAATATAAAAGGAAATGCATAATCTGAGTATGCAAATACAAATAGGTTGTCTATAGTAAACTTATAGATTACATTCTTTCTACAATAATTAAGCATTTTAGATGTGGATGGGTCCTATGAGCCACTTACAGATTATGTTACTACAGCTTTGATAGTAATTGAGTTTCAGTATTACATCAATATCAATTGATAGTGGCTCAGTTAGTAGGATCTCTAACTCACTTGTTTGAATACGTAGAGACCTGGGATCAAATCCTACTACCACCAGGGATGGGGATGAACTACTCTGTTGCGTAACCCCATAAAATTTATTTTGTGGGAACGATAGGGGAATCATAATCAAATTGACGATTTTCAATTTAGGTCACGCTTTCTTGCATAAATATGTCAACAGAAAGGGAGATTGGGCTGAGGAATATATTCAACCATTTGAATCAAATGGGTTATTCAGCAATAACTAGGTAACACCATACAGGAATCATGACTTATTGAAGTAGTGGGTGGAAAAGAGTGATCACCCTTATTTTACATTTTATTAACCAATAATTATTAAAGCAAGTATCAGGTATAACAATACATACATCACACATGGACATGGGACACTCCCCTTCCACAATATTTAATTAATTACTTATTATTACATCACAACTAATAACATAAGAGTATATAAATTAAATAGATATCTAGCTACCCAATAGTGGGAACCTTTGTGACAGTCCCATTGCAATCAACCCAAACCCGAACCCTTGTGCAAAGGAAATCAGCAGTGACAATGCTTCCTTCTAACAGAACGACAGCAGTCACTGCAGGGTTCTCCTGCTCGATCGTTGCTTTTGCAACCTTCCCTTCACATCCCACCAGCTCCGGCCATGAATTCTTACCTGCATATATGCACAGCCCCGGCCCTCACATGAAATTAACTATATAGAACAAAGCATTAATAAATAGAAGCTTTTCCAAAACCCAATTCTAGAATTCTAGCTAACTCCTTACCATAACACTCTGAAGACATTTTGCTTTCTTTTAATTAATTCAGCTTCAATTCCTTCACGTCTCTCTGTATTTTGGATGATAAGTTCCTGCCAGGAGAAGGGGATGGATATGTTTATATATATAGAGAGAGAGAGAGATCGATGGGAGGAGAGAATCAGAGAATGGCTTTATTATGAAATTAAGAGTCATGGTCATATATCTCCTGTCGTACGTCTCTTGGAATTTAAAGCAAGC